TGGTCAGCTGATTTCTTCCAAAGGTTCCAAGGCAATTAACCAGGAAAATAAAGTCTTTGCAATAGATAACTCTGAAAATTGGACTTCCCTACAGAAAAAAAAAATCAACATCATCCTTATCTCACTATAAAAATTAACCAGAAATTGATCTTGTAATATATCTAAATGGAAAAGCTAAAACTATAAACTTCTAAAAGAAACAAAATTTGTAACTTGGGTTAGGTAAAGATCTCATACAGTCCCCAAAAGAAATCATTAGAAAAAACAAATTGAGCTTTATCATGACTAAAACTTTCCCTATTCAAAAGGTACCATTAAGAATTAGGCAACAGATCCTCATCATTATACAAAATACATGTATGAAGATGTGAACTTGGTGTCAACATACCTTATATAATCAGAGATATGATAAATTATGGTATAATGGTGTATTAAGAATTGTAATGCAAAAATAAATAAATAAATGAAGAAAGAAAGAATTAGGCAACAGTTTCTTAGGTATGACAGCAAAGAGCATAAGCAACGAAAGAAAAAATAGACAATGTCAAAAATTAAAAATTTTGGTGCTGCAAATGATACTATCAAAAAGTAAAAAGACAACTCAAAGAATAAGAGAAAATCTCTATAAATCACATATCTGATAAAGGATTTATAGACACTCTAAAGAAGTCTTAGAACACAACAATAAAAAGTTACTTAATTTAAAAATGGATAAAGAATCTAAGTAGGAATTTCTGTAAGAAAGGCACACTAGCAGCCAATAAGAACACACAAAAAATGGTAGTCATCAGTTAAATCAAACCAAGAGATACTAGTTCACACCCATAGATGGCTAATGTCAAAGACAGACAATAGCAAGTCTGGTGTGGCTGGAGAAAGGTTGGATCCTCATCCAAGGCCCAGGGCTTGTAAAACAGTACAGTCGTTTTGGAAAATAGCCCTTAAAATGTTAAACACATATTTACCATTTAATCCAGCAATGCCATACCTAAGCATGTGCCCAAAGGAAATGAAAATAATGTACACGAACAGGCCTCACATCATTATTTCTAACAGTCAAATAAACTAAATCTTTACTACCCAATGAGCTGATACACAAAATGCAGTGTATTTATATAATGAGATATTATTTGGCAATAAAAAGGAATATAGCCCTGATATATGCTACATGGATGAACCTTGAAAACGTTTAAGTTAATTCAAAGAAGCAGGTCACAAAAGACGGTATATTGTATGATTCCAATCAAGCTACAAGATGGGAGGAAACGTTTATACTACATATATCTGACAAAGGTTAGAATATATAAAGAACACCTATAGCCCAATAATATAATGATAATCCAATATAGACTGGGGGAAAGTTTTGAAATAATTTTCTGTTTAAAAAGATGTACAAATGACCAATCAAGGCATAAAAAGCTAATCATCATAATTAATCACCAGGGAAAGACAAATTAAAACCATTCTGAGATTCTGAGATACCATGACACACTCATCAAAAAGGATAAAATAGAACACTAAAAACTTCAAAAGTTAGCAAGAATGTAAGCAACAGAAATCTACATACAACTCTCGCCAAAAAACTAAAGTGGCATTTCTTAAAAAGTTAAACACAATACTTACCTTGTAACTCACTCATTCTACCCAAACATACATCCACTACACAAAAATTTGTGCATAAATGTTCATAGCAGCTTTATTCATAATAGTCCCCAAACTGAAAACCATCCAAATGGCTACTTTAGAAAAGTGAATAAAATAGGAAGTATCTATACCAGAATATTACTCAGCGATAAAAAGGAATGAGGTACCGCAGACATGCTACTACACAAATGATTGTCAAAGTCATGAGTGAAATAAGCCAGACAAAAACAGGGACATACTATACGACTTGATTTCTAGTCATTTCTAGTGAGTGGAAGGTGGTCATTAATTGGATTATGGCAAAGGAAGGAAAACTTCAAAGACCACAAGTAATCTTTTGAAGGTAACAGAAATTTTCTGTATCTTGATTATAATAGTGGGTTTATGGACCTGAGTTTATCTCTTCATTCCTGAACTGTCCAATTTAAATGGATGCAGAATATTGAATATAAATTATACCTGTATAAAGCTGATCTTTTAAAAAGTAGTGGAAACCAAAGAAATATGCATCAATACAAGTTATCATTTTGTAATTAGCATATCCAGTGTTTGTGTAAATAGTGCTTCTAGTTGCTTATTTGTGTATATATATAATTTTTTTTCCTTAGGTGGTTCAAACATTCATTGCTGCTAGGTCAGGATTTTGTGATTGATTTACCTAACAAATCTCATCCAGTGCCCCCCAAACGATAGTTCCAGCCTAACTGCTCTCTGGATTCCCAAAAATTCTGAGTGTGGTTCATATTAACCAGGTCTTCTCTAACTCCAAAAGAGGGATGATGATGTCCTTGGTAGAAATTCAGGAGGTGGGGGTGGGGACAGCTGTGCCACCAATACGGTTTCCAAATTTTGAGCTAAGATTGGCTACATTCCACACACTCTGATGCTCTCGTGGGTTGCTTCTTTACATATGCTTCTGCTGGTAAGCGTACAACCAAGTTGCTTAGACAGGCAAATTTAAATCTACTTGGACTTGATCTCATAAAATTAAAGACCATCTGCAGAGACATCCGGACAAAATGATACAGATGTCCATAAAGAAACCAGCATGTGCTGAGGACCTACTCTTTGTGACAGTTTTCCACACATTTTCACATTCACTACTCACTACAGTTCTCTAATGTAAATATTATTATTATCTCCACTTTTTCCCACAATGGAAACTGATACACAGACAGACCCCAGCCATTTGCCCAAATTCACCCAGTTAGTAAGAGGCAGAGCTGAGATTTTTGTATTTGGGGTATTTTAACTGATATTCAGTATATTTCCATACACTCAAAAGTAAAGCAAGTAAATGTATTTAACTTTGGATTTAAGTTACTTTATGCATTACCAATAAAAAAGTACCCACTTAAATACACAGGTTTTTGTGGCATTTTTACTTATCACTGAAAGGTCATACTCTTCTTATTAGGTAAGATATATTTGTGTGTGTGTGTGTGTGTGTGTGTGTGTGTGTGTGTGTTTTAGGGTGCTAGGGATTGACAATGGAGTTTTACCCTAACCCTTTTATTTTGAGACAGGGTCTCCCTAAGTTGTCCAGACTGGCCTCAAACCTGTGATCCTCCTGCCTCAGTCTCCTGAGCTGATTACAGGCAAGTACCACCATGCCCAGCTCACTTGAATCTTTAAAGAGTAGACTCTATAATAAAGTCATATGAGCTTCCAGGATGTGTTCCCAAATTTGGAAAAAAATTACTGGAAATTGCTCTTGGGGAAAAAACAGGAATGTGGCAAATCATAAAACAAAAAACATGGGATTAGGAAAAATTATACTTAGGTAATCAGAGGGTTAACATTGAACCCATCAGTTAACTGCTTAATCGTCTCCAGAGAAAAAATTAAACATATGCTTCCCAATTGGACATTTAAAAAATATTTACACAAAATGTCATGACCTACTAAAATATTTTGCAGATAATAAATGGAGTGATTAACTGGGTGCGGTGGCACAGGTCCATAATCCCAGCGACTGGGGAGGCTGAGGCAGGAAGATTGAAAGTTCAAGGCCAGCTTGGGTAACTTAGTGAGATCATGTCTCAAAATTTAAAAATAAAATAGAAGTTGGGCACAGTAGCGCATACTGGTAATCCCAGTTATTCTGGAGGATGAGGCAGAGGGATCACAAATTCAAGGCTAGTCTCGGCAATTTAGCAAGGCTTTAAGCAACTTGGCAAGAACTTGCCTCAAAATAAAAAGGATTGGGGATGTAGCTCAGTGGTAAAACACCCCAGAGTTCAAACTCCAGTACCAAAATAAATAAAATAAATAAAAGGGCTGGGGATGTAGCTTAGTGATAGAGCACTTACCTAGCATGTGCTAGATCCTGGGTTCAATCCCCAGCACCACCAAAATAACAGCAGTAAAATAATACGGCAATGAGCACTTATTTGTATCCCAACATGATCCCAACTTAACATGTTGTTTAAACATTCATAAGGAAGAGAAGAATACATGAAAACTAAACTGTCAGCTTAAACATCAATTCTTATGCATACCTTTGGCAACTCAATGTCTGAAAATCATTAATAAATTAATTAAATTAAGTATATATTTTGATCTTCATTAAAAAAAATCCTCTTCAGTCATAGAGCAGTGTTCCAAAATTTATTTTCTCATATACTGGCTAAAGCATAACATCCTGTTGCACTTTCCATCACTTAATTCTAGTAAATGTCCCTGGATAGTCCCAGATCATAACACTTAAAAGTGTTTATGTGAGTGGAGAGGTCAGTTTCATCTTAAATTAAAAAAAAAAAAAATACACGTTCAAGTAAAGTTTCTTTCTGAATATTCTGTTGATTACTTCCTCCCTCCCGGTCATCTCCAGTTTTCCTGGAATGCAGAGGTAATCGAATGTGGGCGATAGTGCCCTATTTGACTCCAGTGAGACTTGTCTCGTGCCTGGCATGGAGCCCCATTTCAACCTCATGTACATGTATCTGCCAGCGGAAGAGAAGGGACAGAGTACACAGCTGCCATCTGCATCCCTCCCCCGGCATCCCGGGGAATGAAGACAAGGGTGGGAGTTTCTCCTAGAGACAGAAGCAAAGTGTACCCCACAGTGGAGTGTCTTCAGGCAGCAGCTCTCGGACCTGGCACATTAGAAAGCAATGGAGAGACCCAGCAATGGTAACCTGGGACCCCACAGCAGGGTCTCCACTCTAACCTAGCAGAGGCAGAGGCCTGTGGATCTCCGTGTGCAGAACACAGTCTCCAGACATGTTCAGGCTTCTCTGGTGCCCCACAGGCCTCACCACTCCCTCCTATCTCTCCCAGTCTACTGCATCCATTTATTTCAACACTGGTATTTACAATCCTGTTTGCACTCATCAATTAAACAAGGTACTTACAGCTGCATGACCAAGTACAGGTGATTTGGGCTTTCATAAATGTCTTCCAGGGCAACTATGTTTTCATGCTTAATCCTAGAAGAAAAAAGAAAGCACACTGGTAAATACAGTTGAACATGAAATCTTTTAAACACAGGTGCCATTATAGCAAAAAGTTCTAAGACAGAATCAAAGTCCTGAATGACACATGTAAGACTTCTCCCCAAACTTTTTTCAGACTCTTTCTCTCAACAGTCCTCCTTTAATCTCTGCTCCTCTTCATTCCTGAGACTCTAGATACTAAAGTTTAGCAATAATTTAACTATTCCTGCTCCCTGTGTATCGCCATAGGCCAAATATCTCAACATCCTGTTATCTTGCAGGGCCCAGCTTAAACGGCTGAGCTCCTGACCGTGGAATATAACTGCTCCATCTTCTGCTATCTCACAAAGCCATCCATCACAGACCAATTTGAACTGTCAATTGTATGCATATCCATCTCCCATAATAGCCTATGTGTTCCAGGGAACAGTTTCAAGGTCAGGTTCATGGATCTAGTGTAGACAAAAGAAAACCAGCTTGATCCTTTCATTGGGGTTCATGTTTACCACAACACCACATGTCAATTCAGTTCCCAGGTGAAGTAGACCAGTACCATACAAAATATGGTTGCCAACAAGCAGTCCCAGAATCTCCTGGGAACTGGGTAGAAATCCAAATTGTCAGCCCCACCTGGGTGATACAGAATCAGAATCTCCGAAGGTATAGCCCAGGAATCTGTGTTTTAATAAGATCCTCAGACCACATGTATGCACAAAATAGAGCTTGAAAATACTGTATCAGACCAGTATTTCTCAAACTTCAGTGTACCAAGGAGCTTCCTGTGGGTTACAATGTAGATACTAATTCAGTGGGTCTAGATTGGGGCCTTGGCATTTGCATTTCTCACCAGTTCCCCCAAGAGATGCAGGTGAGGATGCTGCCGGGCTGAGGACCACCCTCTAAGCAGCAAAGTCCTACCTGAAGAACCCAGGAGAAGGAAAGATCCTTAATCCTACCCCCTAGAACTATGCATCAAGAGTAGTTTCTACTCAGAACAGAAGGTGCCATATTTATTTAATGCATTTGAAAGAAGAATCATTTCATTACCCACTGAGCTAATGAGTTCTTACCATGAACCAGCCCATCACTGAAATGACTGCTGAACCATTTAAAATCAAGCATGTAACACGCAGAATCTCATGAACCCCTTGAAAGCAGAGACTACATTATTCAGGCTGTTTCCCCTTTGCACCTAGCACAGACCTGTGTAATCAACATTTACAGGATGAATGAATGATATTTAAAGGTTGTTGCCACTAAATAGCAAGGAACAACATTAGGTATCTCATCACAGAAAATGGAAGCAGTTTTCCCAAGTGTGAGATGTCTTCCTCTGAAAAAGAAGTTTATAAACTAGAATAAAAAAATACCCATATGGGGCTGGGGCTGTAGCTCAGTGGTAGAGCATTTGCCTTGCAGGTGTGAGGCTCTGGGTTTGATCCTCAGCACTACATAAAATTAAATAATAAAGATATTGTGTCTAACTACAACTAAAAAAATTTAAAAATACACATATTAGCTTGCCTTTGAGTTGAAAGAAGAGAACAAGATAATGAACTAAAAGTGGCAATGCGTTGCTTTGATTTCTTATTAATTAATGCAGTTGTTTTGTCGGAGCTGAAATAATTACACTAAATTCACATTTCATCTGATTGTCATGCAGAGCACATAGTTCTTTATTTGTCAGTGGTAGTTACTGTATGACCTGAGTAAAATACTATCAGCAATGAATTATGACAATATATCAAATAAATTGTCATTAAGGAAACCAAGAGAGCTTAACTGGGGACCTCCAAGATCCTAGACATTCGTGGCATTACCATCATCAGATATACCCAAAAGAATCTGACCACAAAAGGTAAAACACATCATGTGGATTTTCCCGTTTTTGGAAATTTAAAATACCTGCCACGAGAATTGTCACATGGGCACAAGTACTTTTATTCAGTCAAATTAATTTGGGAGCTAATTAAGAGTATATTTTCAGAAATTGGGAGGAATGGGATTACACAGAGGATTGCTAGATAAAATACAAAGCACATAGTTACATTTGAATTCTAAATAAACAACAAATATTTTTAGTATAAGCATGTCCCAAATATTGCATTGTTTTTACCTGAATTTCAAATATCGGGGCATCCTCTATTTTCATGTGCTAAATCTGATCACCTTAGTTACACAAGGCCCTCAGTGATCCTCTAAACTGGGCTAGAGATTGGCACCTGCAACTCTGGCTCTTCTTGGAGGTTGAGTCAAGAAGGTGGCTGTTTGAAACCCAGAGTTCAGCCATTGAATAGTTAACACAGATTCAACTCCACACAACCAACTGTGCACAAACCACTTGCCTATTTTTTTTTTGGTGGGGGTACCAGAGATTAACTGAGGCTCTCAGTCACTGAGCCACATGCCCAGCCTTAATTTTGTGTTTTATTTAGAGACAGGGTCTCGCTGAGTTGCTTAGCACCTTACTTTTGCTGAGGCTGGCCTTGTCTCGAGATCCTCCTGCTTCGGCTCCTGCCTAGCCAAAATAGCAGACTAACAAAATCAGGCCACAGTCCCCTCATGGGATGTACAGGATAGATAAAGCCAAGCCTATTCAACCTGACAGGATTTATGTGAGTGCTACCTTGAAATTAATTTTAATCCATGGGAGCATTCCAGAGAGGAATTACAGATAGGAGGGACCATCTCAAATAGAAGTCTTGCACTGGTTACAAAGATGCTATCTTAGTATGTATCCCTCTAACTCATGTATCAATCAATCAGGCAATCAAGCAATCACTGAATTTCTGTTATGTGTCTGGCAGCGCACAAGAAAATTATAAAATAAGGTTTTGCCTTCAAAAAGATATCATCCAGATGGAGAGAAGCAGGAAGCAACGAGAAAAGGATTAATGCTGAGTTCTGCAGAATTGCCTTTAAGGTCAGAGAAAGCAGAGTCCTTATAGGTCAGTATTATGGAGAAGGTCTCAGGAGAATTACAGGGCTTGAGCCAAGATGGGTAACATTTAAGGAAGCACACTTGAGAAATTTCAAATAAATGCTAAAATGGCCTCTAAACTGTTTCTTAAGAAAAGTGTTTTAATTAGCTTGGAGGTGTTAGAACATGACAAAAGAAAACATTCTAGGGCCAGGGTTGTAGCTCAGTGGTAGAGAACTTGCCTAGCACATATGAGCCACTGGTTTGATCCTCAATACCACATAAAAAAAATAAATAAAATAAAGGCATTATGTCCATCTACAACATATATATATATGTGTGTGTATATATATTTTTTTTTCAAAGAAAACATTATAGCCTCTCACATCTGTTTTCAGTTACCTTGTTCCACCCACAGGACCCTTTATGGTATACAAAAACAGAACTTAAAATTTAAAAATTATTTTAGTACATAGATTGTCTTAACAAAATGCCACATGAACATTCGTACATTTCTAAGACTGGGGCAGAATCTATCCTACAGAAATGCTTTCCCCTGGCTGAATTCCCTCATTTCATTATTCATTCAACAAATATGCATTGGGTGCCCACCAGGAGCCAGGCACAGTCCCATATGTTATGAATCTAGGTGGCCAAGACATAAAGGGAGACAGTATTAGCCCCCATGAGCTCACACAGGTGACAGCTAGAAGACTGTCTCATATTCACCAGAAATTGACCTCCTGGTAATTAGTAGTTACTCTTGGAAGCAACAAAGAATAAGTTTATATTGTCTTTCTGCAAATATTTGAGGGTTATAATAGCTCCTCTGACTCTCCTTATCATTGACCCATGTTGCAATATGGTTGATCCTCCCCCTCAGTCCCCTATTGTCACTCCTTTGTTCAGACTATGGTATTCAGAACTGAAAGGAATGATCCCCATGGAAAGTATGGCAAGAAAAGGGCATGGCAGAGAGTGTGTTTGATACCTTTTTATTAAATGAATGGATAATCTTAAGCCAGAATCAATTAAACCACCAGATCATTTTTCCTTGAACTTCTAACCAAGATTTGCTTTCTGACTCAGACTTTAGAGTTTTAAAGTTTTCACCATTAGCACTGTTATATTCAATCCTTTTGTGTCCCATGCAGTATTCCAGGTGTCCAGCAGTATGGTGAATCTTTAGCCATTCATTTATTGTATTTATTTCCCTCCCAACGTTGGGCCATCTGCCTATTTGGTACACATCCATCCCATATATGTTTCTCCAAATTCCTAATTAAAATCATAAGTGGGAAGGTTATATGAAAGAGCTCCATGGTATTCCACCAGAGACCCCAACAAGATAACTGACATCAATCAGCTGGCTTTGATTGCTCTAGTGGCAAATCCAACAGGGCCATTATCCAGCCCATATTTTACCATCCTATCCATAAGGAGACAATTATATGTTTTGCTGAAGTGGCTTTCCTCAGCTCTACACATCACATAAGACTATTTAAAATGGAAATGGGATGTTCGGGAAGATTTGTTCTCAGTAAACCCATGTTAGCTCCTAGCAAATACTATTGTCTTTACTAAACGATCACAAGCCATCTGCTTAATTTTGTATTCCAGAATTTAACCGTGCATTGAATTCAAGCTTCTCAGTCTACGGATCTCATATCCTTCCATTTTATGTTTGGAAAACTTGACGACATCTCTGGTATTGTTTTCTCAAACATCTCAAATGTGACTCCTCTGTGATAAATGCAATTTCCTCAGTCTCCTAGGGTATAACATATCTCAACTTTGTGATGAATAAATTTTATAACTTTCTTTAGATGCTACTTACCATTTCATATATACCGTTTGTTGAGTGTTAATCATGTGCAAGATTTGCTGAGTTTTTGTTTGGTGCTCGATACTGAACCCAGGGTCTCAACCATGCTAAGCACATGCTCTACCATTGATTTATAGCCCAGCCCCTCATGACTTAACTATTTCATTTAATATCAACAACAACCCTACAAAATAGTCATTATTTTCCCCATTTTTGAAAAAGAAGGGAGAAATGGGAGGCCAAGATCCC